CTGACTGAGCCACCCAGGCACCCTTCCCGCCAAAAAAAAAAAAAAAAATTTTAAGATTTTATTTATTTATTTATTTATTTATTTATTTAGCAGAGGAAGGGGCAGAGGGAGAGGGAGAGGGAGAGAGAAAATCTCAAGCAGACTCCATGCTGAGCATGGAGCCCAACACAGGGCTCGATCTTAGAACCCTGAGATCATGACCTGAGCTGAAACCAAGAGTCAGACGCTTAACTGGCTGAGCCACCCAGGTGTCCCAAGGCACTCTTGATGTTCTCTTATGCAGTCTAGACACATTGGCACTAGTGGTAAGAGTGTGGGTTGCAGAGTTAGATGTCTGGGCTTCAAATCCCAGCTCTGCCACTTGCCAGCTGAATGACACTGGTCGAACCACGTCGCTTTTCTGGCTGGGGCCAGGGTGCGCCGAGGTGCTTAGGGCACACCATGTAAGGAGCTACTCACTCTCAGGGTCCAGCAGGTGCAGGGTCAGCCCTCTCACCACCTTGACAGGGACGTTTCCATGAGCCTCCTTAAATTTCATGCCTCTCTTGCTTTACCCTAGTCCCTGCCCTGCCTCCTGCCCTGGTTTTTTAATCTGTGAAATAGGGACAGTGACCTCCCTGGTAGAGAAAGTGTAGGGACTCAATAACTAGCACCAGTAAGAGACTTAGCACAGTGCCTGGCGAGCTGGTCTTCATGTCTAATTCATTTTTATAGTCCTAATAACTTTAAACACATTACATCAAAAATAGTATGTAATCAATTATGTTTAAGTGAATTAATAGCTGCTAAGTTTGAGGCATGTGGTGATGGGGTCTGTAATCAGGAAAACAGCTCTAACTTCAAGTCCCTGGATCAAGAGTTCCTGAGCTGGTTCATTTCCTGGTTCACATTGAGCGTTGAGAAGGTTTAGGTGAGGAGCTTTGGACAGAGGGAGTAGAGCCCAAACCTCAGAAAATTGCTGAGGTTGGTTTTCAAATTAGAACCATGAAGGAAAAGGCTCCAAAAGTGGGATGCGTGCACGCTGGAAGGATTAGCTCGAGTCTGGGTAGCAGCAGCTCAAATGTGCAAAGTGGCTTAGGTTCATGCGAGCTGGTCACATCGGGAATGGATGGGCTCCCTCTCCGTTAAGCCCTTGCCAGTTCCATGGGAAGGAGATTCTTTCCTGGAACATGGAGACTATCTTGCATCTTGCCTGGAACTCCATGAAACTGTTGGCAGCATCTGGCTCAGCTGGGTGCATCCTGAAACACATTTATTTGATATCGGAATTGATATTCCTCTTTTACATTGTGGTTGGGACTCATTAACTCTCAATAAGGACCGACATTGAAGGAGGAGTTTCCGCCCTTTCTTGCGAAAAAAAAAAAATGTTTCCTTGGATGGGACATAGCTCCTGTAACTGATTTGCTCTCCTGGCACAGGGCAGCATGTGGTGGGGTGCCCCAGGGCTGGTAAGAAAGGGGACAGACTCAAGAATTCCTGGGTGGGAAGGCTTTTTCCCTGCACTTACCACAATTGCTAAAACACTAGGTTTAATAGCCCAAGACTGGTCTATATTTGCATGGAAACCGTGTTTGTGTGGAATTTTTTTTTTTTTAATTTCAAGATGGCCATAATAAGAGCCAGACTGTTGATAAGTCTAACGATTAGAAGCATAAATTTCCCACACAATCATGGTAGATTCAATTCTGAGGTCTTATTTGAAAAGTTCAAAATGCGTGGTGTTTTTATCTAGCGACCTCACTAAAGCACTCATATCCACTAGTGCCAGACACGTGCGTTACATTTGTGGTTGCCCAGTGCAAGCATTGTCCTTATAACCAGCCATGGAATTTAAGTAAAGCAGTCTGGAGGGGTGTCGAGAAGGTTCATTTTAGGAACTGCTGTATTTATGTCCACAATATCGCTATTAAATTGGCAAGTATGAAGCAGCCTTGAGTGTGGCCGAGCATATACAGTCACCATTCCTGGATGAGTTGTGCGCTTGGAAACAAGGAGCGTAAAGAGGGTTCTTGGCTTCCAGGAATTTGGTTCAGGGTTTCAATCCATTTGAATCATGTCCACCATTACACCTGTTCCTTTTGGAGCCAAACCTGCACATTATCACCATTACTCTTCAATAGCACTGAAATTGCAATAATCTATGAAATCTGTCCTTTCCCGTTCTTTCTCTGCCACAAAACAGAATTTCCAGGAGCTTGTGGGGGTGGGATGGGGGTGTTGAAAAATACATTCTGAGTCACCGCTTGAGAAGTTTTTATTGTATATTTTCCCCAAGCGATTCTGGTAGTGAAAGTATTATGGGTATAGAATGAGCAAACACTTAAATTGAAAACAATCAGATGAGAAAGTCCTCTGCTTTAATGAGAGGTCACTAGTACTTATTTCTGAAGCTATTATCAACTTGGACTGTGGGATTGGAGAGGCTCTTCCAATACAGGTAGTGACACAAAAGAATCACTTTTTTTTTAAGATTTTATTTATTTATTTGAGAGAGAGAGCACAAGCGGGGAGGAGAGCCCGACACGGGCCTCAATCCCAGGACCCTGGGATCATGACCTGAGCCGAAGGTAGACGCTTAACCAACTGGGCGACCCAGGCGCCCCTGAACCACTGCTTTCAAGAGAGACCTGGGCACCAATAACAAACTCATCACTTCCATCTGTATCTTATATAAACAACAAGATCCTAATGTAAATATCAAGACATGGCTCCACAATCCCATAGTATTCTAGTTTGTCATGAATCATGAAGTGTCACCTTTTCAACTCCTGAACGCCCAAGGAGCAAGAAAGAAACTGCATAGCAAGGAGAGAGGAATCTAGATCAGGGACTGGCCAACTACAGTCCTAGGGCTGACCACCTGTTTTTGTAAATAAAATTTTACTGGCATATAGCCATGTTCATTCATTTACACATTAGCTATGTTTGCTTTCATGCTAGAGTGACAGAGTTGAGTAGTTGCGACAGGCAACGTTGGCCAACAAACCCAAAAATGTTTACTCTCTGCATCTTTACAGGAAAATTTTGCAGACCCCTCGTCTAGACAAATAGTCAAATGAGTCAAGTTGTTGGCTAAAGGTCCCCAATTCACAATGCCAAGAGAAGGACTGGGTTGGCTTTGGTTATTGTCATGCACTTTGTAATTTAAAAAATCTTATGAGCCAGTACAACTAAAACTCCTATTCACCTTGCTTTGAAGAAGCAGTATGGAAAGTAAAATTAGGTCTCAGTATATTTTATATGTTGCTTGGACTTCTAAAGCATTGCTGGATTGCTTAAATATGCATAAGTCAATGTCATTTCTCAAAACTTTTAAAAGAGGCAAATGTTGGCAACTTCTAAAGTATTGGCATCATGCTGTGTCTGTACAAAATTCGACAATGCTCAAAACCACGTGCTGTCGCTATAAATGTAGTCCTACTTCAAGTGAAACTCTTTAGTCTAAATATTTTCACAATCTTTGAAACCAGTTTTAAGAGTCATCAGAAATCTGTAGTTTAAGACACCAGACACATTTCTTAGCTGAGCCTTCCAGTGCCAACATGTTGGACCAATTCAGTAAAACATGCCATAAATTATATGACTGCTTTATTTGAATTAGGGGATACTTTCCACGATAGCAGGAATTCTTACTGGGAGTTCAAAAGCCAGACACAGGCTCTAGGTTATTATTCATACACTGGTGATGGATTCGAATCTTGCCTTTGTGGCCAGGTTTGGCCAGGAGTATAGGTTACAACAAAGAACAAAGCTAAAAGACCCAAAGCAGTTAAGATTGCAGTCTCAATAGCTCTGAGTTATACCACCTTTACAAATGCAAGACAACTGGCTGGAACAACCTTGCACTGGCATGTCAGAAGTGACCGGAAGCTTTTGGAATATCATTTAGGATAGGGCTTCTTACTTGATGTTGCTTACAAGGAAGGCTAGCTCTCTTCTTGTCATTTAAATATATTAGTAGATCATTAATAACACGTGTGATTATGGACTCTATCTGCAAATGAATCTTAGTAGATATGTGACTAGTCACAGCAGAAAAGCCATTTAGGTCTGGGAGCACACGGCCTTCCTCTAGACTCAGGTTGGGTCACCTGGCTACATCTACAGACTTAAATGGCTAAAATCCAATTCTCTACTCATAGCTGCACTCTTGCCTAGAAGAATTTATAAAGCTTGAGATAATAACTTGGGGGAGGAAGTGGTATGCTAGTGAAAATAACACTAAATAATACTAAGAATTTAAATACAATTTTTGAGACTTGTGTCAAGAGTTGAAACGTATAACAAACCAACTAGGTGAGTCCTAAGAATGATACGAATATGGGGTATGAAGTTTTCAGGTTCAACTCAAGTATAATCGGATCACATAGCTGAAGAAAATGTCCATCATTCTATATTTTTTGAAAAATTGGTCTTAATTCTTAAATTGCTCCTTTCTTCATCTGAAAAAGTTCACCAGCCAAGGTATACACCATCACAGAATGCCACTTACAGACTCTCATTTTAAAGATACCCTTAATTTTCCAAAGGACAGTTAAAATAGGGCTCATTTTCAGAAAAAAAGATGATTCACCATTCTAACTCAGGACTGGAAAGGTAAGATCCTTACGGGGGAGGCTCATAAAAGACGTCGTAGGAGAAATGAATGCTCTCAAATCTTTGGTACAGGAGTGAGGTTGGGGGATGAACATGTCTCTTTGAAGCAAAGCAGCTGACGCTTGAAGTTATGTGGGAAGGGCAGCCTGTGTGTTCTGTGGCCAAATCGTGAATGCACATTTTTGTGTGACACTCCTGCTTGGGGAGCCAGGCTCTCATTAAGTTCTAGCCAGTTCAATGTTCACGAGGGGGACCTCCAGGGTGTGGGGAACACTTCAAATTACATTTCGTGAAGACACGAGACTGTCAAAGCTCAGGAAGGCCCCTGGCTGTTAAAGGCCAGTGTAATGCTCGCGGGCAGCGCGTCAGCACAAACTAGCGGTGGACACAAAGGGAGGTTTTTTAAAGGTGGTATCGAATAACAGGCCAGCAGCCATTCCCTCTCGGCGGCTTAGACCTCTTTCTTCTCTCCACTTTGGCTCTTTGTTGAGTCACTTCCATCAGGCAAAGTTCCATAGGATAAGCCATTTGAATCTGGTTGTATTTTGTCCAACATTTGTTTCCCTGTGGAGATAACAATCACAAAAAATCTTTTGCGCTCTTAGAAAAGAGTACGTCTTAATAATAATTTCCCCTCTCTTTAGGCCACATTTTATTCCCTTTTTTTTTTTTTAGTGCTCTGTGGTCACCCTCTGCACAGAAGAGATCAATGTCAGGAAGGAAAGGCCCTGGAACTCTGTGTCCCTTGTGGTGACCACACACTCTCCACAGGAGACAGTGGTCTCCCCGCCACACAGGGCCTCCTGTGCTGGGCATGGAAACCGGGTCGGATGGTCAGGAGATGAACATGAAGCATCCACTCATCTCCACACCTTCCTCCCCAGTGTCTTTTCTCCTTTTCCGTATTTGCTCAAATGCACGTCACAACAAAGAAAAGCAGATTTCCATAGCAGCTTCTAAAAGCTGTTGCTGATCCTATATATGGGGCTTTGTGAACCGAAAAATCGAGTTAAATGGTATTTTCTACCCAAGAGCCTCTAACCACACAAGTCATTCACAATGCACAACTTTGCCACGAATGCCAATTCTTGCCTTGAACGCTCTTAGCTGATAAGAGGGCCCAAGAGGGAAAGAGAACACGGAATTCCTTGGGTCATATTTTCTCAGTGGTAGGGACAAGGCTTTAATGGCTTTTGCTTCAAAGTCTGGAACCTAGCAGAATGGTAGAGGAAGCTGTCAGAACATCATTACTTTGGTCTAGAAGCCTGTAGGTCACCCCAAATCCCTAGCAAAGCTGGATATATTGGGTGGGCAGGGGAGGAGGTGAGGACACAACCGTTTGCTTTGTTCTGAACATCGCTTCTGTTGTCTACATGACAACAGCGAGTTATTTCCCAGTGAGAGCGGAGGACTGCAAAGATGGTGCATGTGAAATGGATTGGGATGAAGAAGGCAAGGGGGAGGGGGAGAATCTCTCCCTGTTCAGGTGACGATGAAGAACATCCCTTTTGGCCCCACTGTGCACAGGCCACTGCAGTCTTCTGCAGGAATGATGGTCCTTGGCAGCCTAAGCTCCTGTCCTTAGAAGTTCCTTCAAAGGCTCTCTGAGCAGCAGGGGACCCCTGCTACAGCCATTCCCTACTTCTATCCCCACCCTTTTTCAGTTTAAGGGAACCCAAAAAAAGAAATTGGCAACATCCCCCAAATCAAGAAAAAGGGGCCAGTTCTCTTATATCCCCAGTGTTCTGTGCAAAACCGACATTCAAATAAATGATTATTAACACTGACAGTTAAAACATCACCTCTGGTTTCATGGTTAAATAGACATTTTCTTGGGTTATAAGAATTATGTTTTATATTAATCTTAACACCCCAAATAATACCAGCAACTACTAATTTATACAGTTTTCCATCATAAATTAAAGAATATACTGTTTTACCAGGAATATTTCCAAAATCAATGTAAGATTGTGGCAGATGTTCCTTTTCTCGGTTTCTTGTGACCAAAAGCACACCAAGGAATGACAGAAAACACCTGTAAGAACAATATTAATAAGGAACACAAGAACACTGAAACAACCCATGGTGTTAAATAACAGCTCCCTAAGTCTACATGATGACATAAATTCCATTGGTTTTGTTTTTCCTGTTTCTCATGGTAAGCCTCCTAGAACTTGTCTTAATTGCTGCAGCCAATTATATTTTTCCCCAGAACCAAGACCTGGGCAGCTTCCAATAAATCTCTGCCCCAGGTTTTTACCATCTGGAGGCTAATTCCGGCTCTAAACCCTTTGGGTAGACATTAGGTCTCATTTTCTATCCATGCATGCCCAGGCCCATTACTGGCATGCAACACGAGCAAATATATACATATATATATGTGTATATATATATATAAAAGAAAAATATATATTTCTTTAATTTTCTAAGAAATCTAATTGTCCTTGGCCATAAGAATAGTCATAGTTTCCAGATCCTAGAAGTTTAGGCTTGCCCAAGTATCTTATGAAATTGAATTTTCAAGCTAGATGGTTTTCTACGCTGAAAATAGCCTGGGCTCAAGTCTGCATAATAATGGTCATGCAGAACACCAGAGCAAGAAACAGCTAAGCATTAATGGAGTGCCAGCTGGAACCAACAGAAGATCTTAGACATGGGTGATATTCTGTCAAGGTTCTGCTCTCTGTTTGCAAGAATGTCAGCAATGATGCCGACCGAATTTCCAGGAAGGGTTAAAGATGGCCACCCAGACACAGGAAAGGGATACTACCAATCTGATGTTATTAGGTCCAAAGCTAATAATCTGCCCCAGACTTAACCTTTTATTCTAGGGAATCCTAGAGGCATCTGTGGTTCCTGAATGAGTTCTAACCTAGAAATTTCCAAGAGCAAGATAGGTCTGATTTAGCACGGAAAGGTCATGGATAGCTCAACAGCTGATGGTGGATTTATCTAGACCTTGGCTGGAACTGAAAATCCCCAGGTTCAGAACCCTCAAAGAGAGACCCAAATTACCAAGTCAAAGACACAGAGTCCTGCAGAGGGTGTTATATTGAAAACTATGTTTCTTTTAAGAGCTCAGGAAAACTAATGTTTCTTATATTGTCTTCCAATCTTCTGTACCTCAGATATGATGCCAAAAATCCCACATAAAAGTAATAGGACTTCACATTCCTTACTTATGAGACATCTACTCACCCAAAAATATATATAAATACAGTTAGAAAAGCTGCGCCAAGGAACTCCTGATAAAATATGATACCTATAACAGGAATAAAAGACAAACTTAATTTTAGGGTAAGAATATATATACTAGCTTTCAAATTATGTTCATGTATTATTTTTTTCTAAGGATAATTACCCTTAAAATGCACATTCAGTAGCTTAAGTTTAAAAATATTTGCATGCCACACTTACATTTTCAGTGATTTCAAAAAGAACATAGATTCCTAGACTTTATATAATGTATTATTATTATAAAATCAACACAATTGACATAGCTTTTGGAAATAGAAATTTCTTATCCAGTCTAGGATTTGTCCCACTGGAAGAGGCAACGAAAAAAACTCTAGTGACATTTCCCACCTACACTTTTAGGCCAGGGGTCAGCAAGCCTGACCTGAGAGTCTGGGTGGACTCTGGGGCCCGGGACACGACATTCCCTTCAGCACAGCGGCTGGCCACCCAGGCTGACGCTCTTGGCAATGCCTCGTGTGCACTCACACACTGGAGGATGTGGGAACCATTCTCCCCAGCTCCGTTTCTCACTGCCAAGCCCCTCTCCCTTCTCTTTCTTCTGCTCTTCCCTTTTGGGGGAAGGAAAACTTGGATGTGTTATTTATTCTGATAAACTTGTCTTCTCTCCTTGTTAGTCTTGATGATTTCTTCTTGGTCTAAGGTCCCAAAGCCTTCAGAGAGTTGTTTTTTTTTTTTTTAAGGTATCTTTAAATTATGTATTATGTGGACCTGAATTTTTGTGTGTGTGTGTGTGTGTGTGTGTGTGTGTGTGTGGTGCTAGCCTGGCTAGTCAGCTGACAAATCTTTATGGAGTCCTACGTGCCTGCCACAATGCAAGGTGCTGTGGCTACCATGATGGACAAGCCAGAGTCCTATACCCAAGGAGCACTCTCAGAAGCCTATCTCCTCACCTAGAGAATAAACCTCGTTCAGGCAGAAGCCACGTCCAGTTCTAATAAATATTTGTCGAGTGGATAAACATTTTGAGAGCATTCTTCCATGTTATTGCATACTTCCTTGTAATCATTTTAATGTTCCCATGTTATTCTAAGCAGATGTACCATAATATTCATTTCTCTAAGGGCATTTTAAGTTGTTTTGAAATTTTTTTGTTTTAGTCAAGTAGCAATAAACTTCTTTGTACATATTTCTTTTTTTCTCAGTATTTTAGGATTTTTCTTGTTATTGCCCCTTAAAGCAGAATTTCTTTTGTAAAGAGTAGAAACATCTTTTTAAAAATTTGTAGTAAAGGGATGCCTGGGTGGCCCAGTCGGTTAAGCATCTGCCTTCAGCTCAGGTCATGATCTCAGGGTCCTGGGATCGAGCCCTGCATCGGGCTCCCTACTCAGCAGAGAGCCTGCTTCTCCCTCTCCCTCTGACGCTCCTCCCTGCTTGTGCTCTCTCTGACAAATAAATAAATAAATAAATAAATAAATAAATAAATAAAATCTTTAAAAAAATTTGTAGTAAAATACAAATAACCTAAAGTTTACCATCATAACCATTTTTAAGTTTGCAGTTGTTGTGTGAAGTATATTCACACTGTTGAGCAACTAATCTCCACACCTTTCTCACTTGGCCACACTGGAAGTCCATACCCATTAAAGGACAACTCCCCATTTGCCCCTCCTCCAGCCTCTGGCAATCACTACTCTGCTGCCCATTTCTGTAAGTCTGACTATGCCAGATACCTCATATAGGTGCAATCATACAGCATTGGTCTTTTTATGACTGGCTTATGTCACTGAGCATAATGTCCTCAAGGTTCATCCATGTTGTCACATGGGTTAGAATTTCCTTCCTTTTTAAGGCTGAATAATATTACATTGTATGACATACCACATTTTCTTTTTCTACTCATCTATTGATGGACATCTGAATTGCCTCCACCTTTTGGCTATTGTGAATAATGCTGTTATCACCCAGGCATACAGGTATCTCTTCATGTCTTTGCTTTTGATTCTTTCGGATATGTGCCCAGAAGTGGAATCGCTGGACTACATGGTAATTCTATGTTTAATGTTTGGAGGAACTGCCATAGTGTTTTCCATAGTGGCTATTCCATTTTACACGCCCACCAACAGTGCATAGAATTCAAATTTTTCCACATCCTCAGCAATACTTGTTAATTTTGCTGTTCTTGTTGTTGTTTTGTTTTTGCTAGTAGCCATCCTAATGGGTATAAGGTGGTATCTCCTCACGGTTTTTTTTTAATTTTTTTTTTAAGATTTTATTTATTTATTTGAGAGAGAGAGAATGAGAGATAGAGAGCACGAGAGGGAAGAGGGTCAGAGGGAGAAGCAGACTCCCTGCTGAGCAGGGAGCCCAATGTGGGACTCAATCCCGGAACTCCAGGATCATGACCTGAGCCGAAGGCAGTCGCTTAACCAACTGAGCCACCCAGGCGCCCTCTCCTCACGGTTTTGACTTAAATTTCCCTAAGGATTAATGATGTTGAGCAGCTTTTCATGTGCTTATTGGTCATTTGTACATCTTCTCTGGAGAACTGTCTATTCAAGGACTTTGCCCAGCTTTAGATTGGGTTATTTTTGTTGTTGTTGTTGTTGTTGTTGAGCTGTAGGATCAGAGACTAGAAACATTTTTCAGGCTCTCGATAAAGACTATGAAACTGAGCTCTAGGAGGGCGGTCCATGCCACCCAACTCCACGAGAGCACCTGTCATGCCTTGCGGGCATCAGTTATTGCAATAAAAAGAACAAAACAGAAACCTTACTAGTTTCTAGGCAAAATATGGTATTGCATTTTAATCTTAAGCTAGACTTTTTGATGGGGGCAAAAAGGGAAAGTTAGTCAAGAAGCTTCACCTCCATTTCACACTTCAGCAACAGCAGATGAATGATCGCTCCGAGAAAGCTCCAGCCTCCCTGACTCATCAATTACTTGGTGTGTTGAGTATTGAGATTCCAGCCCTGTTGGTCCTCCTACAAAATGTTCTTTTCAAGGGAACTACCTTTTTTTTATACATCTTTACAACATTAATATTAACTATTAGGACGTATGTCATGCCTGCAACTCTTTTTGGCCCTATTAATTTTTTTTCTAGTAATTCTAGGGCACACAAATGTGCAATCTTTTCTTACTTTCTTTTGTCAACAAGCATAAAATGCTAAAAAAAAAATCAGATGTCTTGGTAGATGATCTTTTTCTTTAAAAGTAAGGTTCAATTTTGGGAAATAAAACAAACGCATCAATTACTCTTAAAAACTGTCCACTAGCAGTCACATTGTTTGCCATGAAATAAGAAAGATGTGCCAGTTAGGAAACATAATCCTTAATTGCTTCCAAAATGCATAAATTTTGCTTTGGGAAATGAACTTCCAATATGAGAAGGTAGTGAATATATCCAATAAGCCAGTAAACCAGGCCACACCAGTACTAAACTTAGGAGTGAGATACCGGAATCTACTGTATTTTCATTTGGATCAAGTTTCAAATTTGTGCTTTTTTAAGAACACTACTGTGTCTCATATATATATATATATATATAATTGTCAGTAAATACCGAAGAACTATAATAGCAGAAAAACAGAGGTCAGAGCAGCAAGGACAGTAGTTTCAATTCTCATCTGCTTGGCCTTCCCTGGGACACTAGGTTCAGTTTTGGATTCAATTCTGGACCCCTCTCTCTGATCAAGGCAGTGAGGGACAGGGAGGGAAGAATTCATGGAAATAGGGATGTTTGGTCCAGAGAGAAGACACAAGAGGACCCTTCAGCTGCTTTGATTATCAGAAGGGCTGGCAAGGAGAAGACTCCAGAAAGCAGAACTAAGATGAGAGTCTTGAATTCACAGGGAGGCTAGTTTCAAGGCCAGTATAAGGAAACACTTTCTAATAATTCAAGCTCTCCAAATAATTAGAGTGATCCAAAACAGAACTGCGCTATCTCTGGGGACAGAGAGCCCTGGGGAGCCTTCACACAAAGCAGAATAACCCATCCTAGGGGACGTTATGGAGGAAATTCAGTCCTGGGTGGAGGTGAGGACGATATGACGTGGGCTACACAGTTCCTTATAACCTCAAGATTCCTTGATGGTCTCATTTACTCGGAAAGAAACTTGATTTATGTCTGGTGTGGGGGTAGAATCACCTGAGGATAGAAAGCCAAAGCTCACCTGCAATAATGGCACTGGTCGTGAAGAAAATATGGTTGACCGGCACCACCATCGTTGTACCGTAGAGTTTCGTGGCTTGATTCAGGAACCTAGAGCAGAAGGCACTTACTGGAGCCCTGGCTTTAAGAGACGCTCAGCAATAAGTTAACAATAACATCAAGAAATGCATGTCCTTAAGCTACAACTACAAAGGGAGAGGAAGTGCGGTAAAAGGGCATTTCCAATCAGCAGTCATAGCTCATATGCATCTGATGTATGAGATCAGATGTCAGATTTTATGGTCTGTTTAAACCAACAACAGTAACAATGAAAAGCAATTAATCATATTCTGAGGCCACAGAAGTTTGAGTTGGAAGCGATTCAAGCTGCTGGACCAGTATCACACTGGAGCTGATTCATTAGGATAGACCCTAGAATCTGTTAAATAGCATATCTGGGGAATAGTATAGCTATCCATTGACATGCCACGTGCCAAGAAAGAAGATGGAGAAGTGAAGGAATGTTTAACGTTTGGAAAACAATGCTCAGGACGCCAGCTGCAGAGCACATGTGGGAGCTCAGCGTCTCACTCTGGCCACCAGCGTGATTCCAGCCCCCCCAAGGAAGATGTACTGCCCTGTCACTGACACCAACTGGACAATTTAAAAAAAAAAAAAGTTCAGGTCCTATTCTAGCACAACTGAAAAAAAATGTTCTGTGGGTAGAGCCCAGGTGTGCCTGAGCGTGTGTGTGTACACATGTGCCCATGTGCACACACTTACGTACATATACATGTGCGTGTGTGTATATATATGCATGTTATCTATGAACAAACACACCTCCTCGGGCAGTTTCGCTGGGTGGCCAGTCCTATGGTTCTAGTGCGTTCACCACAGCTCCAGTGTGGCAGAGGCAGGGACTAGAACAAGGGGGACAGGAAAATGCAGGGTACCTTCGGTTCTACCTGCCACTGAAATCCATAAAGCAGAGTTGAAAGATAACAATGCTCATCTCGAAACTCCAAAAGATATTCTAGCAGTGCTGATGAACTCAGAAGAAGAAAGGGAGATGAAACAAAGTAGCGAGGGCCACGCCTGAGAAACATACTCATTCTCATAAGGAAATGACAAGTGAAACAGTGACCAAGCACTGGGGTTCTCCAGTCATTGTCCATATTCCTTGCAACAGGTCCCATGTCCGACCCGCGGCTATTAGACTTGACTGCCAGCGCCTGCGGAGAGGAGCACTCTCTTCCTGAGTGTAGGCTCTGATTTCCCAGCTGACAGTGGGATGGTGCTTTTGCACAGCATTTTGGGATAAACAGAAAACTTCCTGGCTGACTAAAGACAGCCTCGCAGGCAAAGCCATAATCACGATGTGAAATGGAGGGGAAGTGACTGGAGCAGATGGAGGTGGGGGGAGAGAAGAACAGAAATTTAAAATGTTCCATGTCACCACTATTAGGCCCCCAGAGAAACATAAAACAATCATTCCGCCATCCCAGGGGTACAAAGAAAATTCTGGCCAATGATGCAAAGTTCTGGGGAAAGGATTTCCCTCCCAGCCAAACGTCTGGTTTTGTCCATCCCTGGGCAATTAATGAGCATGAGCTAAGGATGAAGGTGAAGGGTTCATGTATTTCCTATATTTAGAATGAAATCCTGGATGTGGACCTGCCCCTTTGATTTATTGCTAATGACAACCTGCGTACGATGGATATTAATTACAAGCAGAAGAGCATCAGGAAAGTATCAAAGTGCACTTAGCTAGATTATGGCCATACTTTAGAACTCACAAGACATGAAGGCAATGCTCAGTGAAAAAAAAACAACTTATTATTGGACACGAAGGATAAAGTGAGGCATGCTGGCTGAGGATAAGCTGTAGACCCTTCACCCTTAGAAATCAGTTGCACCTCATTTTAATTATCAACAGATGCCAATAAAGATTAATGCTCAGAGAAGCACAGGAATGTTGAAAGATGAGTGAGTACGCAGAAGCTAACTTACTTGACTTGGAAAACACAAGATGCGATCATGATGATAAACATGATATAGAAGATGGGATAAGTTAGTTGCATTTTATCCGTCACAGAAAAAGTGATCATGCCTGAGACTGCTTTTACCGAGATAACCGTCAGCGAGGCTGAAAAAGAAAACAAGAAACACAAATAAAATACATCTTTGAGACAGAATCACAAACAAATATCTCCAGTTTGCACAGTGGAGCCATCGATGACCCCCATTATGCTTTTGGAATGCAGGCTCGAGTGAGGTGATGGTAGGACGGGGCGCCAGACAACCAGTAGCTCTCGCCCGAAGCCGCGCTGGACTCTGATTTTGCTTAAATCAGCTAAAGATCTGCTGTGCGACAGGGTGCTTTTTATCTTTGCGGCAAGATGCTTATTTTCCAGCCCTTACTGTTGAAAGGATGCCGCAGAGTTTATAATTACTAGGAGATGGGAGAGCAGAAAACAATGAAGGGGGGAGAGAAGAAAAGTCAGACAGTCCATGTGACACGAAGGGGAAAATAACTATTAAACTATAGTGAAAAAAATTTAAAGCCAAACAGATGAGAAAACCAGAGTGTGGAAGGCAGTTCACTCTGTGAGTTTACTAAGAGTTGTCCTGAGTCTCTGTGTGAGCTTTTTTGTTCATAAATGCCTAGAAGTTTCATGAAAAAAAAAATATTTTTTTACAAAGACAGTAATAGGAAGCAGGACCAGAGCTGAGTATGCATTTCTCAGAGTCAACCATAAATCTAAGGTTTACATAAGCAATGTCTATTCTCTATGCTAAAGAGGAACATATCCATAGGAGAACAAGTTTTTCATAGGTCCCAAATAGCAATGAAATGACTTGATAAGTTATAACATGAAAGCAATGAAACATTTTCTAGAAGCATCATGTCTCTGTAGGAAGAAAATCATGTTTTCTTTTTGTTTTTGTTCATTTAATGTTGCATATAATTCCATAACTTAGCTGAAACCTACAGAAAGTGAAAAAATAATTTTTACATGAAATCAAATAACTATAATCAAAGGCAGTGTGAAGGAGAAACATTGTCTTTGGTGCTGTTGGTCTACTTGGTCATAATATATCTGGGCTTTATCCCTTTTAGCTTTTGAATATTTTAGCTTTCATATATTTTATATGTATATATAAAATCAGTTTAAAATAGCAGCTGATGGCTAACCAGGGAAAGCCTCCCATAATCTCCTTTCCAAAAACTGAAAATATACTTTAATTTGAAGAATACCACGCCACACTTCCAAATTAGACATTTTCTTTCCATTAAGAGTCATAATTAACAGAGGAGAACAGTTGATAAATTCTAAAAACAAACCCCAAATCTGAACAAAGAGGTCCTTACAACCAGGCTCCTCTTCATCTCAAAATGTCTTTTGACCTCATCATTTTACATGTTTTCTATAGATTATGACAATAGTCATACCTTAGCTAATCTAGAAATTTTAAATATCTGTGGTGATGTGTGTCACTTGATGGTTCAAGTTTGTAGGGTTAGCTCTTAAGGGACCTTGGTTTCCTCCTCAAAATTTTGCTTGAAATTAGAGCACAATGTGGTTATGGTCTTGCGGTCCGAACAGCCAGGTTTCCCAAAGGGATCATTAATGGGAAGGAGTTGAACACACCGTTCCATTAGCCTCACAACCTTCGGATTGCACATGCCCTTCAAGGTCATCTAATGCAACTACCATCTGATGTTAAATTATACTTAACCGCAAAATAAAAACAAAAGTAGACTTTTTTATTAAACAGCTAAACCAACTATTGGCTTGCTATAGTTAATCACTGTATTTTCAAAGCATGTACAATCACCAACTGATTAATAACTCTATTGTAACTCTGCAAGTTACTTCTAGGCTGGTGACAAGTATTTCCGTTTTATTTTTGGGTGGGCGTGTGGTTAATGAAGACAGGTGAAAATACAAAATTTAACGCAGTATCATTCTAATATATATATAAAAATATAAAATATTTATGTATCTTCTCTTTTTATATACAGAAAAAAAGTCTAGGAAAAATGCTAGAAGAAACTACATCAAGATGCTATCAGTGGTTATCTCTAGGCACTGGGATTATGAATAATCTTTAAACTCATTTTTTTTAAGCTATAAAAGTTTACATGTTCCTTTAAGAGAATTTGGAAAAATGCAGAAAAGCCTGGAAAGAAAAATGAAAACCACCTGTAATCTCAACACTCATCCCCAAATCATTTTTAACATTTGGGAATATTTCTTTGTAGCTATTTTTCTGTCTCTAAGTATGAATATATTGTAACATACGAATCATACAGTATATACTATTTAGGAACCTATTTTCAATTGCCATTAAGTATTTTTCTATGCCATTAAATATTCTTCTAAAGCATGATTTTCATCAGCTGTGGAGTATGCCTTTGCATCAGTGTATACTTTATCTTGGCAATTCCCTATTTTTGCATATTTAGGTTGCATCCTTTTTTTTTTTGGTATTAAAAATGAGGCTGTGATGAATATTCCTGAACACAAATCTTTGCATGCCACTCTGCCAATTGCCGTAGGAAAATCACCTAAATGGGGACTTTGTTAACAGCTGCTGTTCTTCTGAAATACACTGGCAAGCCACCTTCTATAGAGTACCAGTCACACTCCCATAATACTGTACAGCAGTGCTCAGTTACATGGATTTTTATGTTTTTCTTGATGAATCTCTTTTCTTAATTCTCAACAATAGACATTAGAGCATACTATTTTTACCTGACATAGCTGACCTGTGTTTGAAATCTGGCCTTCTCACTTCCCTCCTACTTCATCAAATGCTCCTTCCAGAGACTTTCCCAAATTGCCATCAATGTCTCCTTATTAGAGCCATCAATATTTATTAATTTGGCTTCTCTAATCTGACTATGCAGAGCAGAGAGAAGGACCTCCTAGCTTTCCAGCTTCCTGATCAGCTGAGCATTCAGCTGGGAGTCTTAAGACTCCTTTAAGAAAGAAGATTGCAAGGGCACCTGGGTGGCTCAGTTGTTAAGCGTCTGCCTTCGGCTCAGGTCATGATCCCAGGGTCCTGGGATCGAGCCCCTCATTGGGCTCCCTGCTCCACAGGAGGCCTGCTTCTCCCTCTCCCACTCCCCCTGCTTGTGTTCCCTCTCTCGCTGTGTCGCTCTGTCAAATAAATAAACAAAATCTTTGAAAAAAAGAAAAAGAAAGCAGATTGCAGCCACAAGCATGGGGCACCAGAAACCAGATCTCTTTCCTCCCAGTTGCCCTCACTTTGTTTTCTTTTTTAGTTCATTTTTTAATTTGTCACACAAACAATATTATGTTAACAATAAAGTAAAAGAAAAATCCACCTGCCTACTGCCTCTCATTCATTTCCAGTGTACGCCTCATGTGTGCTTTTTTTTTTAAATTTTATTTTATTATGTTATGTTAGTCACCATACCATACATCATTAGTTTTTGATGTAGTGGTCCATGATTCATTATTTTCGTATAACACCCAGTGCTCCGTGCAGAACGTGCCCTCCTTAATACCCATGTGTGCTTTTAATCACAGCGAAGGTAGGTACACTATTGTGTGCTACTTTTTCATTTAATCTGACACTATACATATTTTTCAAAGCTGCTACATGATTTTCACAATCATTTTTTTCTTGTAAAAGTCATTACTGATCATTGTAAAATGCCCAGCCAGCACAGGTAAGTATAAAGTGAAGAGTGGATACCTTTTTCCCTTTTTTTACTGTAGTGAGAACATTTCTGGTTTTCACCAATGGGTGTGCTCCAGGTTTTGGGTTAAGAGAAATATGTTCTTGGGGCATCTGGGTGGCTCAGTCGTTAAGCATCTTCCTTTGGCTCAGGTCATGATCTCACGGTCCTGGGATCGAGTCCCACATCGGGCTCCCTGCTTGGCGGGAAGCCTGCTTCTCCCTCTCCCACTCCCCCCTGCTTGTGTTCCCTCTCTCGCTGTGTCTCTCTCTGTCAAATAAATAAAATCTTAAAAAAAAAAGAGAGAGAGGGAAATATATTCTTCCAATGTCATAGAGACAGAGAATAGAATGGTGGTTGTCAGGGGCTGGGGATAGGGGCAGATGGGGTGATGTAAGTCAAAGGGTCCAAATGTTTAGTTTAAGAAGAGTTAAGTTCTGAGGATCTAAGACACAGCATGGTGACTACAGTTAATAACGCGGAACTGTGTACTCCAAGGTTGCTGAGCATTCTCACTGCACACACACAAAACAGTGAACTATATTAACCATACGAGGTGATAAATATGTTCGTTATATCTTGAGCTCGGTAATCACTCTACAATGTATATGCATATCAAATTATCGTGTTGTGTACAATTAGATATATACACTATATGTGTCAATATTTCCCAATAAAGTGAAAATTATTAAAAAGAGAGAAACATGTTGTTAATACACAGATATTTCTATTCCGATTGCATTTCGAATTCTTTATTAGCAATGGATATTAAACTTTAACATGTCTTTCCAGCATCGATTTACATGATATTTCCCTTCCAAGTCATTAACATGATGAACTATGTTAATGGATTTCTTAAAGAACCATCCTTTCATTCCCATAATTAATTTAGTTAATTCAAAATGTTTACTTTGCACTCACTGTCCTCAGTTCTAGGTAATTATATACAGTGTCACTAGAACAGACATGACTGCGTCCTCATAGAACTAATCGGGTGGGGGAGATGAGTTCATACCAGAATATACGTATATGAGTAGACTATGCAAGTACAAATTATTGTAAGTGTTACAAAGAAAAAAGAACCAGTTTCATTAAGACCACTTGGTCTTAAGTGAAGAATGATTTTTTTTTTTTCCTGGATTCTACCTACCTCTTTTTATTAGAGAATTTTAGAGTAATATTCAGTAGTGAAATTAGTTCATGGTATTCTTTATGTGTGGTGTTTGGGATCAGTATTTATACTGATTATGTAAAAAAAAAAAGGCGAAAGCTTTCTTCTTATGTCCTCAAATAGTTTGAACAACATCAGAATAATCTGTTTCTTAAAGATTTAAAGGCATTACTGTCTAGGTTGAAAGTGAAAGTATGCAGTCCTGGTTCTTTTCAGGATGTAGCTTCTATTTCCTCCATAGTTATTTTCCTTTATTTAACCAAGTTTTCATATTTGTTTTCAATTTTATTTCTAATTTTGGGTATTTGAGATTTTTTTTTGGTCTTATGGAGGATCTATTGTAATGTCTTTTAAGAATAACAGATTCTTGGGTTTATTTATCAATCCATTGCTTTTCTCTTCTTTATTTCATTATTTTTTTACCTTTATTAATTGCTCCTTTCTGCTCGCCTCAGCTTTATTTCAGTGTTTTCCTTCCCTAACTTTTTGAGTGGAATGCTTGACTTACATTTAAAGTAATGAATTTCCTTCTGAATACAGCATTAGTCATAAACTATAGGCTTAATAGTAAGTGTTTTCATAATGATTTTAAAAATATATGCTGCAATGAAATCTTGGTTTCTACTTGGGCCCAGCTGCAGTTTAAGAGTAGTGTTAACATTTCCAGATGTTACGGTTTTACTTGTTTCTATTTTTGTTATTATTTTCTGTTTTTCTTTCACTGTGATCTGAGAATGTGGTCTGTACTATTTCAACTTCCTGGACTTTATCAAGGATTTCTTTGTGGCCAATGACACAATTAACTTCTGTAAATGTCACACAGGCACTTAAAAGCAGGTGTATGGTCTGTTTTCAGAATTTAGAGTTCAACATTAGATCAAAATTAAGGACTCATTCCTCTATCCTTACAGATCTTTCTGTCTACCTACCTTCCACGAGCTAAGAGAAGTTTCTACCCCTCTCATATTTCTGTTAATGTAGTTTTCAAAAGAGCGGCTGCCCGAGTCTCCTGAGGCCTCCTGGCCTTGGTGTCTTCCCCTCTCACCCCCCAGGCCCACCATGCTGAGCAGCTAAATACTAATGTGGGGCTTCCAGGAGCCTCTGCTGCATTTAATGCTTCCGCCTTGATTTTAACTTAGATAGTAACAGTATGGCCTTCTGCTTTCTTTTACTTTCAAACAGAGTTACTTTGTTTTAGATGACATTTATGTATGAAGCCAAAGTATTTCACAACCAGCAAGGGCCAGTTAGAAAGGGCACTATTTCTACAGCACTTACAGATCTGAACCAGAGAACACTGGCCGAATCCAATTTCAGAATCCTTTTCAAAATCAGGCTGGGAATTTTTCTGAAGTCCAATTTGGAAATCTTTATTACCAGGTAAATTTACCCCATTTACATTTATGATCATAACTGATGTGTATGATCTTAATACTGTTATCTTATTTTCCTATTTAAAATTTCCTTTGTTTTCAATATTTTCCTGTATACTACACATTTTGTCTCTCAGTTGTTTGTTTTTGTTCTCCCTATCTGGTAATTCGGAAAGAAACAAATATAAAGTTCTTTTTCTGTTCTTTTGATCAATAGCATACCTGAATATAGTATAAATTTGTTTCTACAAGTAACTACCACAAATACAAATCTTCCAATTCAAAGGAGAGAATTAGTTCGTGAAATGAAAAAAAATGAAAGCTCCAGCCCTTCCTTAACATGAGCGCTGCCTGTCCCAATGGTGTAAGTATAACCTACAGAGTCATAGCAAACAACACACGATGTATGGATCATCTCATCTGCAAAGAAGAGGCAAAAGAAGCATTATAAATAAATCTTTAAAAAGGCAATTTTCCAAATGATTAGTGAGAGCTCCTAGTGTTGATTTATATGAGAGAGAGAGAGTGTGTGTGTGTGTGTGTGTGTGTGTATATGAGAGAGAGGAGGGGAGAGGGTAGATTTAAAAAATATATATACAGTGGGCTTATAGAAGTAACACTTTTCAAATTTTATAAGATGACTCTGGAAAAAAAAGGAGATGGGTGGCTCAACAACGAATGAAAGAAATGTTTTTAAGAAAATCCTACTGCTTACATTTACGTTTCTTATTAGCCATATTTCATTAAAGTTTTTTAAAACACGTAAACAAGATCGGTCTTGGTAAGTAATTCCTGATACAAAATTTTCAGTTGGGATCATTCATTTGTTCGTCTTTTAATAATTTTCAATTATATACTAAGAAAGACAATTCTCAAATTGTCAGACAGCAAATAAGATTACCAAGAAGTAAAAACCCTTACATATGTTTTTAAAAGAATTAAACATACCAATTGTAGCCATGGACATGCAAAATATAATTTGCATAATTGAGACTGGGTTTATTACTACAGATCAGAGTTGAAAAGTAGAAACGATGAGAAAGGAATCGAATGAATGCTCAAGAGCCTCCTTCCAATCTCTTTCCTGACTTCGCATGGCTAGATTAGAGAATTGGGAAACAAAGTGCATCCTTACCGAGAAGTGCCACCAGGGTTAACAGTATCACCATGTGCTTCATTCCCTTTCTCTTATGGAAATATAGCAGAGTGCAGAAAATTAATATTTCTAAAATCTAGAAATGAAAAAGACGAAAAAGAGTAAACTATAAATTATTTTATACAAAGTCTTCAGAATGCCACACTTCCCTTTCGGATTTTGCAACAGTTTTCCTATGAGAGCTGAGGGTGACTGGCGTTCCTAAGACAATTATAAACATATGAGAACAATATAAGGAGCCTCAGGCATCCAGACCCAGAGCTCTAACCTCACCTATATGCCAATGACCCTGAGATGGGCAACTCCAGTCTCATTTATCCAACTATCTTCTAGGCATTTCCACCTGCACGTTTAATAGCCATATCCCAAAAATATGGGCAATGCTAAACTCCTGAACGCCTTCCTTCCGTACCTATCCCTCCTGGGGCCTTCACCCCCCAATGAATGGCATCAATACATACCTCGTTGCACCAGCCGGTAACTCCTTCCTTTCCCCCACTCCCTGCCACCTTCTCTCTAACCCCTGCAATGGCTTCCAATTTGTCTCTGATTCGACTCTTGCCTCTAGAATCCAGCCACTCAGCAGCCAGAGGAATCATGTCAAAGCACAACTTGAATAATGACATGTGTCATTTGTAGAGAACATATATGATACACACATAAGGTATTTATATAATATGACAAGCAGTCGCATGCCCTGCACCCAGCCAGAGAGAGAGAACCTGCCAAGACCTCTGAAGTCTCTTGCGCACCACTCCCCAATTGTACTCCACTCCTCCTAGGATCTCCCCAGCAACCACTACAATGAATTTTTGTGTTTATTATTCACTTTCTTTATAGTTTACTACCTTTTATGTATCCTCAAACAGCACCCTGTTTATTTTTGCATATGTTTGGACTTTATACATGCAGAATCATACTAGTTTTTACTTCCTGGTTTTTCACTGTGCACTGCTAATGAGATTTATCCAGGATGATATATGTAGTAGAAATATATATTAAATCCAGTCATTCCTTTGCTCAAACCTCCTACGGTTTCCTATCACATTAAGAATAAAATCCTGGATGGCCCACCTGAGCCAGCCACAGATGGCTTCCCCCCCCAGTTCTCTGCAAAGCTCAGATGGCTCCTGCCTTTGGGCCTTTGCACTAACTGCTGGAGTTGCCTGGAATACTCCTTCCCCGATCTCCCTACAATGGCTCCTTCCAATCACTCAAATTTCAGCTTAAAGATCACCTCCTCCGAGACATCTTCTCTGACCACTCTGATCTAGCAGAGCCACCCCTTATCTACTGTAGAGAGTTTTATCATCATCTGGACTACTTCCTGTTCATGCACTTATGGGTTTCTTTTCTGTCTCCCTGACTAGCACACGTGTTCTATGAGAACAGGGACCTTACCTGTCCTCTTCGTTACTGTCTTCAGTGCCTGGGCACCGACGGTCACTCAATCCGTATTTATGGAATTCATGAGTAAATGACGCCTCAAATTTATTACGAGCAACTTGCCAAAAAACTGACCTAATGTCTAATAAACTGAGTGTTCAATAAATATTAATTGACCGAATGTCTAAAATTTTCCCACCCTTAAGAAAATGCTAATGTGATTTTGAGTTCTCAATTTTATTTTTGTTTTAACATTGTTTCTTTTTTGAAGTCCTTCAGATAACCTGAAGTAAAGCTATCTTTTTTTTCAAGGAGGCAGTATCCCTGGACTGAAATCATAAATATGAATGTTTACTTTTCTGACGTCAGACATGTAAAAACACCACCAATTTTTTTTCTTAAAAATTACTAGAGTTAGGGACTTCACTACATTCAGGCCTGCATTTTACTTATGGAGCCCTCCTCTAAATCAACATGAATCTCTACTGTTTCAGTTCAAAGTTTGCTTGTTTTTTTTTTCCCTTTAATTCTCTGTGGGCACGGAAAGCAGCAGGACCATATCTTCCTCATTTAAAAACCTTTCATCTCATATGGAAGATTAAGTCATCCCTCAGTCTTTTCCTGGTTAATTAAACTAATTACTTTAACTTTTTCTTATAGGACTTATTTGCCAGGCCTTTAATTTAATCAAGGCATGCTACAAAAGCTATTAAACTCCTATCACTTTGCCATCCCCAAAGCTGCCATCAAAACGTTGGGTGTCCCAATGTCTGTACGGATCTTCAATTGTTAACAGAAATATCCCTGCCGGCTTTGTCCCTGCTTCAACCACAGGCTTCCATTTCTCACATGATACAATTACAAATGACTCACAGCAGCGTTTGGGACCCCTGTATTCGTTGCTGGAGAGAAAGAGGCTCTTCCTGCACTAATGCACAGAGCGTGTTGGCTAAATCTATTAGCAAGAGGATGATTACTTTTGGGAGCGGATGGGGGAAAATGAGGGGAGTTATCAGTTCTAAATATCACATATGACTTTTTTCCAAATTCCATCTCTGTGGCTCCAGATAAATAAAACATGAGCTGCTGTGACTCAGAATGACTGTAGTTGCCCTATGTCCTGTCTTGTGGCAAGAGGTCATAGAGCTCCCAGGAATAAAATATTCAAGCAGCACGAATTCATGTTGTTGTTTTTTTTCCCTAGCAATATTTTCTCCCTCTCTGAAAACACCAATATTAAAGCAGCTGTGATTTCTACGGGTTGCTGGGACCCGGGAAGAGGCTGCTTTGCTGATTGCTACTTCAGAGGTCAGAAATAATAACAGCACTTACTGAAGGCTTACCATGTGCTATTCTTGCACTAATTCATGGAATCCTCATAACAACCTTAGGAGGTAGGCACTATTATCCCCATTTGACAGATGAGGAAACCAAGGCTCAGAGGGGTTAAGCGATATAGGTCTGGTAGGCAGAATAATGGCCTTCCAAAGATGCCCATGTTCTAATCTCTGTAACTTGTGTGTATGTTACTTTACATGGCAAAGGGGCTTTGGAGATGTGATTAAGGCTATGGACCTTGAGATGGGAACATTATCTTAGATTATAAGTGGGTCTGAAGTAATTGTATGAGTCCTAAAAAGCAGAGAACCTTCCCAGGCCTGGTCAGAGAGAGATGTAACGTGAGAAAGAACAGAGTCAAGGAATGCTGGTGGCATTCCTAGTAGCTAGGAAAGGCGAGGAAATGGCTTCTCCTCCAGAGGCACTAGCAAGGAATATGGCCCTGTCAATACCTTGATTTTAGTCCAGTGAGACCCGTGTTGGACTTCTGACCTTCAAAACTGTAAGATAAGAAGTCTGTATTGTTTTAAGACACTAAGCTGGTGACAATTTGTTACAGAAGTAATAGGAAACTAACTTGGGTTTTGGTATCTGAAGTCTTTCCAGGGGAACCAACGTTCCATGCTAATGGATTGGAAGAACAAATATTGTGAAAATGTCAATGCTACCTAGAGCAATCTACACATTTAATGCAATCCCTATCAAAATACCATCAACTTTTTTCAAAGAAATGGAACAAATAATCCTAAAATTTGTATGAAAACAGAAAAGACCCCAAATAGCCAGAGGAATGTTGAAAAAGAAAAGCAAAGCTGGTGGCATCACAATTCTGGACTTCAAGCTCTATTACAAAGCTGTCATCATCAAGACAGTATGGTACTGGCACAAAAAGACACATAGATCAATGGAACAGAATAGAGAGCCCAGAAATGGACCCTCAAATCTATGGTCAACTAAACTTTGACAAAGCAGGAAAGAATGTCCAGTGGAAAGAAGACAGTCTCTTCAACAAATGGTGTTGGGAAAATTGGACAGCCACATGCAGAAGAATGAAACTGGACCATTTCCTTACACTACAAACAAAAATA